CGTCAGTTCATTCGTATACTTCAAATAAACGATGCTCGCAAACAAGAAACATGACATATGCTTTACGGAATAGTTTCAGGACCCAAACAGGGATAAGGGTGAATTTGTTAAATGCGGCTGGGTTGTTGTCGAAGGACTGAGTGTTTGCCGAATGGTGCGATTCACCCATGACATTCATAAAAAACACACATTGTTACGGACCAAAAATTAATTTATCATGTTACTCTAATGACTGACGCAAGCAGATGAACACTAGCATAAAAGCAGACGGCATTTGTGCTTACTCACCCTTTTCGTCTTAAAGCGTACCACTCTTAATTTGCCTTTATCATCGAAATATTTCAACATTGGCAGTGTATTCATTTTGAACATTGCCAAACGAACTTTCACTGCATCCGGTTTATCATCTGAAGTTTGAAACAGACGATAGAAATCTTTATTTTGAAACAATCGTAAGAAATTAACGCTATCCAATTCTTCATTGTGTCTCTTCGCGAAGCACTTTCCGATCGTAAAAAGCAAAAGAACCGTTCGTGCGAAAATAACGTGAGAAAGGACTTTCTCCAAAAATTCCCACAAATTATTCCGATTGAAATGAGCTTTTGCCTCGTTTCGTCACAGATGTGTACTGAAAGCCTTACGTCAATTCTTTCAGAATATCTTATTTCAGACCGCAAACAGCCCAATGTATCTACATACTCACCAGCCCTTGCATCATTGTGATCTTTCGCAGCTTCAAGCCGTTTCTTTATGTTATCCATACAATACTGTTCAGTACAATCCACTAAAATCGCTAAATCCAACCTTTCGAACTGAAAATATCAATTTCTCAACATCGAGCATATTCTTTCACGGAAGAGTAACGTGGAAGTTTCATTTGTCTATCCTANTCACGAAGTTGACAACGCACTTATTAAAGCGAGATGTTATCACATTTTTTCAGGAGCAGTCATAAGGTAGTGGAAGAGATAGCTGGAAACAAATGATGATTTTAATTCGGTGGAAATGCTGATGAGCGGAAGCAAGTCAAAATAAACCTGATTTTCGAAATCGATAGCCTGTGCTTGGGTTCTTGGATATCCTTCGATCACATAGCCCCAACTCCGTCCTCCAACGTCATGAATGCAAGAATATAACAAGTCTCGACAAATTTTCTGCAATTTTCCATTCGATAGCACTCTCATGTTTGAGCATTCACTCATTGTCAGTGTGCTCATCTGTTGTTAACAACACTCACATTCGACTTGATTGTTAGGATGAGAAATAAACATTGCGCTATTTGTACAGATCTTCAAGAGTTAGGAAGTGTCGTAAGAATGGCATTTCTTTTCGCTGAGCAATTAGAATGTAAGTAAATATGTTTCGAACCATGGGAACTGTTTCACCAGCATTCATCTTCTTACCGATCCTCTGCCAGAGTTCATCGTCTGGATTTTGACGAACTTGCCGTCTCAACAATTCACCCATACTCAACGAAACAAAACCGTCATATTTCTTAGCGATTCGATGCGCAATTGCAGCTTTGTTTGAACCGGGTGCACCTGGAATGGAATACTGTGGTATGATGAATTGGTTACAAATCAGCTGCATGACTGTTACCTTTACATTATTTTATTCTATAATTCTATTTGAATAACATCTGAGAAATTCACTCAATTCAATTCATTCAAATGAATTCAATTCAATCAAATTCGTTCTATTCAATCAAATTCATTCAAATGAATTCATTCAATTACATTTGAATTACATTTGTAAATACATTCAAGAAATTAAACTGAAATGGAAAATAACCGATAACGAGAACAACAGGTGCATTGTTTGGCAGGCCGCGAGGCAACTGAGTAACTGCAGCCGATTCTGTATCGTGAACGGCTACTTCGGCTAATTGTGCTGAAGAGGAACTCTGATCGTTACAAAGTACATTTTCTACATTGCATAATGAGCCTTTAGTTATTAATTTTGAAACACTTTTTTGATATACAATTGATTTTGTTTTGGTCAATCTATTTTTCGTGAAGCAAATATCATTACTTATTAAAGTATTGATTAGCGATTCACAATATGTTGAAAACGGAACCTGCAGTAGAACCAGCAGGTCCAGGAGTGCTAGCAGTTGAAGAAATCTTAGAGTCGGGAGGCTGACTTTTTTCTCCTTGTTCCTTATTTTCTTCGCTCTTCTTCTCTTCTTCTTCATCACCTCCTTCGTTTACGTCATTCTGTGGGGGTGGCGAATGAACCTCGACGGGTACTTCGATTGCATTTGTCGGTTTTGGACTCATTGTTGTGCTTTCTGGTGTTTCGCCTTTATCCTCTGAAGACGAAATGAAATGATTTGAAGTGGCCGACTTCAGTGATTGTAAAAGCTCACGAAAAAATAAATAAAACACTTATGATAATGTTCAGGATCATTTTACCAGTTACGGTCTTTTTTGAAGTGTTCGATTTGACTGATTTAATAGACGTTGCTGATTTGATTGAGGATCGATTTGATTTAGCAGATGCCTTCGACTGATTGTCGCTTCTTTCTGGAGTGTTCGGCTTTGAAGACTTCTCTGCAGGTGTTCCTTTCGTCTCAGCTGAAATCGAATTGGAAACAGCATTTAGTAGTACAACCAGCAGTCAATTCTTCAAACTGCGAATCACATTAGAAACCTATCATTGAAATTTTTCTTGGGAACAATGTCCATCAGTAAGCAACTGAACATCATACTCGTCAAAGTTAAGCACTAGTTCAATTTGTTTTAGAAGAATGAATAAAACGAATCGCTCTGCAACAAATCAGTATTCCGTTCAAATTTGTCTTCACCTTGCGATTTTTGAACTGTTTGTGAGTCTTTTGGCTGCACATTCATGGCAGTTTCGGGGGTTCGACTTGATTCATCGACATCCTCTGAAAGCTGTTTTCAGTGAACAGTTATATTTAAGGATGAGCATGATGAAATTTTAGATCATCAAAAACACTCTGTAGTTTGTANTGGTATAATCTATCGGAAACGATTACCAACAGTAGCATTTTGGACAATCGGTGATGAGTCATGTAATTCGTTTGCCTCAACTGGTGTGCTGCTGATTGGTTCGGCTGCTTCGTCTCTGGCTGGGGTGCTAGCCAACAACACGGTATCGGTTTCAGTAACATTTTCTTGGTTTGAGTTTGACTCGAGCTCAAACGTTGATGTCACAGCAGCTCCTACAGCTGCTTTGTCAGGCAAATCAATTGCGTTCGGCTGTTCCGTTTGTTTTGACTCTGGTTGCAAACTTTTAGCACTTTCTCGCTAAATGAAAATAACATTTGAGGATTGTTCAACTGGAGTGGGACTATCCGCTGGGAAGTATTGTGCAGTAATGAATTACATTGATTTCGTTTCGCTTGAAAGTATACTGGTTCTCTTTCTTGGTGCCGTCGCCTTTAAGAAAGTAATGACTCATATTTTTGGAATTTGATGCTGATGTGACAAATGATCGAGAAATTTGACTGCTACAATTTCATCATCACAAACGAATGTATCGTTTTGATGGTTGAACTGAGTAATCAATGAGTGTGTTGTTCGTTTACAAACCTCACGTTGCGATGCTGCCGTTTTCGGTGGAGTTGCTGGCACCGATGGAGCTTTTGATGTTGGCGTACCTAAATTGTTTTGGCTTCGGAGTAATGACCAGTTGAAAATGAAGTAAATTATTCGTAAACGTCGAAGATGCTCTTTGAATTATCGTGGTAGAATGGCGACGACAATTTTTTTTTAAATTTCGGAATCTTCAAGGTCTGTCTCTCCATTCAAAGAGACCCGTCTCGATTTGAAAACAGCCTATGCAAGCTAAATGTACAACATGCCTTTACGTGAACCACTACGGCTCCTTGGTTTTCGCTGCGGTGTTGCTGGCTTCGAAGCGTTCTCCGAATTTTGGGCAGCTGTTGCTACACGTGTCTGCGATTTGGCACTGCCATTGGGTTGCGCAACTTGGGTCGTAGTGCTGGACTTTGTTGACTGTCGAGATGGTGGCAGTGAAGGAGGTCGTGAGGTTCGGGAGGCTTGAGTTTGTGGTCGAGATGAACGAGTTGGGGGACGTGACGAGACGTTATTGTGATTTTGGTTTTTCAATTGATTGTGTTGTTGTTCTGCTTCTTGTGCGACCACTGCTACGGTCGCAGCAGCTGCGGCAATTACCGATGGAGCGTTCGATTGGGACGAACTCTGAAATTTCGAATTTATTCGATTCTCGTAGCATCACTAAAAATAATTTTAGAGCAAAACACGCATTTCAACCAGTTTGTACTTTTAGTAATGAATAACGAGTTATAAATTAATTAGCCCGATGCCACATGAGTAAAGCGCATGAATATGGAATACCTGAGGCGGTTGTGGTGTATTTTGTTGACTTGAGCTAGACGAGTTAAGCACTGGAATGCCAGTATCCATCGCTCTTTGCACAAGCATTTTCATGCGCTCATATATCGTTTGATCATCTTTCTCACCCGGAATCTGTAAGGCAAAAAATGTTTCCGATATTTCAGCGGAATATAACAAATTTTTCAACGAAGAAGAAATTTGCTTGAATCAACAGAATTACAGCAGTCCTTGCAATGATGCTCACTCACTTTATTTAAGGCTGAAGCAAGACAGTGTAAAAATCTACAAAACAATCAAAAATACGTGAATCTAACAAGATGAAGAAGTCGTTGATCGTCGAAATATTTCGCACTTGGCAGTGTTTTTTGCTTAAATTCTCGTATACGTGCATCGATCATATCCGCGTCGAGTCCTCGATTTTGCATGTGCCTTCGAAGTGTTGCCTCATCGTAATCAAGAATTAATGCCATATTGACAGGCCTTACCTTCAATTGCTCGACATTCCTTACAGTTGTTAGTGGAAACAGTTGCGGACAAGCATGTGAACAACTGATTGATGATATGACTTTAGTGTCTTGTATCATAGCGCATTTCGAAATTTATTTTTCTAGCACTTGATCGAATTTTCAAACTGACTGTGAGGGATGACTGAAATAATTATGTCAAATTTGAACTAGAAATTACACGAAGATAAATGCTGGTCACATTGCTGAAGGGCAACGCAGCAACAAAGAATAATTCACCTCTCTTTCGAAATCTTCAACTTGCCTCGCTTCACGTGGGAATCCCTCCAAGAAGAACGCTTTTGCATCCGGATGTTTTCCCATTTCAGCTTTCACCAACGCTAATGCCAGATTGTTTGGTATCAACTCGCCTTAAAGATTAATTCGTATTCAACGAATTCATGAGCGCCGTCATGTCTTTACAAACCTTTCTGATATCTGAGCGCAGCCTCTTTCCATTCCGGATAGCGTTCCTTATATTTCGTTATGGCGTTACGAATCATATCAGGCATGCAAATGTGCACAAGTCCTTGATCCGAAAGTGCGACTCGAACCCGTTCCGCATGCCTTGTTTTGCCACCACCCGGACCACCTGAATTTGACTGTATTTCTCACATTACCGAAACGATTGTTTATAATTCTTGCACACATCCAAAACAAACTAATCCATTCGTTGTTACACGTAAATCGTTCATTGCCTCTGTATGCATGCAGTGCTGAATGTGTCATGCTGTATCTGAATTCTAGTATTTTAATTGAACTTTTCGATTCAATCGCTTATACCTAACACCTTGAATCTGAGCGAATTGAGGAATTATTAAACTCGGAACGAGTTTCCAATATTTCAATTAAGCTTAGAAACAAATGAAACAATAAAATTTAATAACCATAATAATAATAATAGCAAAAACTATAGATAAAATTGAAAGGTAATAAAAGAAGTAATAAAATGAAACGAACCCATAAATAGAATTATTGGAACATCAGGAATTCGAGCCAGATCAGCTGCCTCCATTACTGATGCCGGCCTCATTTGTTCGGAATTTCTTGACTCGGTTCGAGATTTTGTACCGCTAAAAAAGGCTCATCGCATTTCCAATAACTCAGTCTTTATAAGCAACGTAGATCAAATATTTCGGTATTGTAATGGAGAATTCATGAAGGAATATCATATATTCACAGGGCAATACCATATATACGTTACTTTGAAATAGAATGCGTCAAGATTTTACACATCACTAAAAATTCAAACATTCTTAATCACCCAATATTAAGAATGTATCTTGTTGATGTATGTAATCTTATATCACATACGAGAATTTTGTTTAATTTTCTTCGAAATTCACTTGAAACTCACTTATATATCCACGAAATTCCGACACATCCATGATGTGTAATGAAAACAAAGTTTGTGCTACATTTGGATGGTTTTTTCTCAGAACACAATCTTCTTTATAGGACAATTTTCGGAATGATTTCAGTGCACTCAGATTTTGCAAGATCCCAACTTACTTCTGCTGACTTTCTCGATTCGTTTGACGAGACGAACTCGATGTCACAGATGGTCGTTTATTCGCTTTAGATGAGGAACTCTTTACTTCTGAAATTAACTGAAATAAGCACGACTACCAAAGCAGTACGGAAATATTGTTTATTCACTTTATTCTCCGTTTAGCGGTTCTGAATATCACAATTGTCAAACTGAAAGGCTGCAATGAAAACAAAATGTGATTTGTTGCACCAACCTCTACGGGGGGTATCGTTTTTCGCAATAACATCGCTCTCAATGAACATATCCCATGCAGGTTCAATGTCCGGTTGTTCACGAATTTTCGAGAGTGCATTCGCCAAGAAATCAATCGGATTTTCAGGCTTATTATAAATAAGTCCGGTCATAAGACTCTGAAATGTTCACTTTCTACTTTTTCCAAGAAAAAACTATGAGCTCAGATTGAAGGAATCTATCATCCTCTACACAATGNGATGAATGAAGAATGTCCGATCGATTCATTCCTTGCTAACCTAGTGATCAGAAGGCATTGATTGCATTCTTAAATGCCACATTATATGAGAATCTGAGATGTTTTGATGTGTGCAGAATTAATTAACTTGCTCCTCACCTATCCGCTGCACTGTTGACTCCATGTCTAAAAGTGTGAATATCTGCAAAGTTGAATTCATAAGGACTGATATTCTCGGGGTATTGCTCATAGGAAAAGGTGGAGAGTGGAGATTAATTCATTGGGCAACGAACAATTTCAGAAAGACTGACCGACATAACATCAAGCGAAACATCACAATCACAAACACTGGAAGAGCGCTTAGCAAACATCATATGCATGAATCCGCGATTGTTTAGCTCAGTCATTTTCAGGTCAAATCTCCTCATTTTCTGTATTCTTCGGCCGCTTTTTATTTTTACAAACCAAAACAGATTTCTTTTCATTCTTCATAAAAATTCAATGAACTGAGAGCTCAGTGAGAAAACCATCGTATTGGAGAAAATAATTTCGTATTTATTGATTACACTAACGTATAATAATGCAAAATCAACTGAACTGAGAATAAGCCACTGAAAAGGAATGAGTATCTAGTTAGAAGCAAACAATGAGTATGATAGCGAAAATGAAACGAAGGATTTGCAAGAAATGTGCTGTTCTCGTCGAAATAATTAAAGCAACTCATAAGTCCGTTGCTGAATCGAGGTAAAATGATATAGTCAAGAGCAAGTATAATGTTGCGAGAACATGACTGGCGATTAGGCTGGCGATAAGCTCTCTAAATGGTTTTGTTTGGCTTGTGCGACAATGGTGGTGCAATGCAGCATTGATTCAACAGCCAAAATCATTATCGCTGTGCGCACACCTCTCAAAATTATAATTTCGCCACAAAACGTACGCCTTTCCGGCTGTCATTCACTAATGCCCACAACCTATCTGACAATGAATATTTCAAATCCGGAAAGGTGTATTGCAAATCCCTTTTCAATGCATTACATCCATTCTGTGCCATTCAATGAATCGTCTGGTTGTTATATTAATTCTGAGTTGATTCGAGCAATACATCAAGAAGCTGTATATTCGAATTTCATTTTCTGTCATTATTTCACGAATCACTCGGTCGATTCCATTTATTCATACTCGTTTGATATTTTTCCAAATATACTGATTTCATGAAGTGTGTTTCAAATACGCAAACATCTTCAGTAGGCTTACCTCGAATAGTTGAGGAATTGAATGGTCCTCCAGATACCGTTTCGCCTCAGCACCCATGATGATCTGTCTCGCTCGGTTGATCTCTCTACTGGCTTCTCACTGTTCCTGTATGAAGGCAATTGATATTCATTGCAGCTAACCAGTACCATTACATTCAAAACTCTCACTTGTTACACCAATCAGAGAGGTTATTAAATGAATGTTAGGAAACGAACATTCAACATCTTCATCAGAATATTTTCACATTTGTTTCTCTTTGGTAATCACCATGAGCAATTGTGTTGTCAAATGGCATATTTAAAATTAGTGATGGTAAACAACCTAAGTTTGGTCTGTAGAGTCCAACGAATTTTGTTCGGAATTCCGAAATTCAGATTCCGGCCGAAGAATTTCGAAATGCGGTCGGAATACGAGTTCTGGAATCTCAATATGTGAATTCGTTCGGAATCTCGAATTTCGGAATGTTGAGAAGTCAATTCGGCCGGATTCCGACCGAACTGAAGCTTTTTCACCATTTGAAATGACTCAATACCGATAAATGTTTAGATTTGCAAACGCAATGATTCGGAAGAAGATGGCTGTTCTGTGCTCACTTAAGTGCATGAAAGTTATGATTTCGTTTCCTTATGCAAATATCGACTCTGGTCACTGGCCATCGGAACTCAGTGGCCCCGGATACCCAAAGTTGGGTGAGTGGCAACCGAAAAAACCTTCAGGTTACCAATTCTACATGTATATGCACACTTCAGTTTTATTCACTTAACTATACTCCCGCTATAACAAAATCTCTTGCTTACGTTGTTTCCAGCAAATCAATCTAGCATCGAATTAGCTTATTGACGGGCATGTATTTCACTTAAACATCTTGAATTTTTGCTTGAAAACCAACACCGTCATGAAAATTAGGCAATTGGCTCATGAAATGAATAACAAGGATGTATAATCGGACTTCAACGCAAACCAGTAAACAACAATGAATTTTCTTGTTTAGAAAAATTAGTATCATTAACGATATTAAACTAAATAATAAACTTACACGCATACAGAGGTGAGGGATAGCAAATTGATGTGATCTCTGATCAGATCACTGCAAATGTTATGTTCAGTGTTGATGTGCGGAAATTGCTTGAAAACTGACAATCTCACAAACATTCACCTAATGCGCATTAATTAGAGTAAACGGATAAGCGCCGACCGAGATTATTTTCGGTGCTAAATTTAAACTACTGCCGACAACTGAAATTCACTATCAACTTTCCTTCGATTTTGCATAAGTCCAAAAATCTGTTACTACAACTGATTTAAAATCATAATAATTTTTTTCTTCGACATGGATCATCTCATCAAGAGTTCGATGCACATTTAGTAGAGCAGGATATCAAAAGTCGGCATTTCTAATTGAGAACTGCTGCCTTATGAACCTTGTCGATAAATCTGTTCATGGGAAAAGCTTAACGCAGGGTTACATGCTTCACTGAAACATTTTCGTAAATCGTTGATGTACTGCAAAAAATGTCATGAAATGCTTCAATTTGTCTACGCTTGAATAGAGTTCCGAGCGGCGACGTTATTTCATGATTGGCTAATCACAAGGTGGGTCAGGAGTCAATCGGTTAGAGCATTAGCGTTTCTGTAAAAACGTTTTAAATGTTATTGGGATATTCTGAGTTTCGATCTAAAAAATCCATATTAAAACGCTTCGCATAATATATGAAACCATTCAGGCTCGCATCAATCCAATAAGATCATTTCCCGAAATGAACACTGCACTCCACAAAAAATCCATGCTTGATATTGCTCAGACCATAGGATGCTCTTCGTTTTAATGAAAGGAAACTAGACGCATATGCTTCTCATCTGGCAAATTTACAATGTATGAACGAAGTGCAAAAAATGGAAAGTGATGAAAGTAACGGAAACTGAGCCAGTATACCCAGTAATTTTTTACACATTAGCATTCAACTGATGAAGTCAGTAATGATTATGAACGTAGTGCAATGCGATAGAGCGGCATTAGTTAATGCAGCTAATGTGAAAAATTCATTGAGCCGTGAGAAGGCACTGCGATGCGTTTCTATGACGATTGTGAATCGTTCGATTGAGAATGTAACATCTGATGAGAATCGGACGTGTTGATGCATTTATAGATGCACATCGCTTAGAAACATTACCAATCACTATAATTTACAGCATTAATCAGTGTCAGTTGCATGTGAATTCAATTACACACTGAGAATATAAACAATCTCAAAAGATTCCTTAGCAATTATCAGAAGATTCATAAAGATTTACGATAGCGCCAATAACAACATAATTTTGACGTGATTTTAAATCAACTACGCTGACTTAATTCGTATATAAAAAGCGCGAGTCGGATTGTGGTGCTTCTGAATTGTAATGATATGGCTGGGCATATAGTGTTAACAACATTTAAAAATCTTTATTCGAAATGAATTACTAATTGATATGATTCGATTGCGTCAGCGAGCAAACCACGAAAATTCCAACGACGTACTTCCATCAATTCACTTTTATTCATTGAAAGTCGGAGTAATCTTATTTACAAAAAATTTTCAGTGATTCAAGAGATTTTCATTTCATTGCAAAAAAATTTTCATCGAATTGCATCGATTCAAAAGATGTGACTGACTGTTGAGCAAAACTGTCATATTATTCAGCATATGCGTAATATGCATGCGAGCAGTTAAGAGGAATGCTCTCGATGAATCAGTGTTTTATAATTTGATTGATAGTGCGGTCATTCGATTGCAGCCGTTCGGTGAGTGTGAGGTCATGCGTGAAGTGATCAGCATTGTTTACGGTTGTTGGCGTATTGTTTCCGGATGAAAGTGCTTTCTGAGTG